GGGATCATAAGATATTTTAATGCCAACTTCACACTGCACTTTATTCTGCCCCCACTGTCACCCCTCCGGAGTTCAATTCACAGAAAATAAACTCAAGCAGTCGCATTCGCCTGGGTTCAACGATTTCGCCGATTATACCCGATCGCCTTTAGGGTAGAAGAATTGTGATGAATACGCGGCGCATTTTGAACACGGTATACCTTTTAAAGACGTCGGGACGCTGAGCGGTCGTTAGGTGTGGAAGACCGACACGCGAGCCCCGGGTAGATAATCAGACGCGGCCGGTAATACGTTGGGGGCGTGCGAGAATAACGCATTGCTTGAAATATTTAACGAGAAGGTAATTTGGTGGGGTTGTGAGCTAGTATCTCTGTGTGGGTGAAGCAGGAGGCTGTGGTTTTGTATCCCATGAGAAATCCCATTGGGATTCTTGTTCTCTTACTTCCTCCTTTGTGCGTACTCCATCGCCCTCTCTCTCTCTCTTTCACATCACAACCATTGTGCCTTTACCTTTGAATTGCCTTTTTTGACCCCGACAAGAAACTCGGAGGGATTTCGAGGCGGTTTTATGCATCTCACGGCACCTTCTTAGCTCAAACTTATTGCGCTCCTTTTTGTGGGAATGGCGCTCGAGTTAAGTCCTTTTTGACTTTTCGACGTATTCTTTTTCATGGGAGTCGAACGTAGCTTTGGTCACGTTAAAATTAGTCACGCTGTATATACGACCGAACCGATCCGACGGAATCGTTAGAGAACTTGTATATCCCGTTTTTTATATTTTTTTTTCCGTTGACGTATTTTTTATTTCATCAGGTGTACCCCCTCTAGACGTACTTGGGATATACTGAAATATAATGTTAACCTGCCTGATAATCGCCTTTGGCAAGTGTCCGCCAGCTGCACCATACCTAACCTTACGTGTGTATAGTCATATATTATTAGTGCCGCTTGTAAAACCGTAAGCTGTCTGGGTATAAGCATTTTATCAACGATCGGACATATCGTCTCCACGTGGTCTCTGTAGTACGTCACATCCGCATAGGAAGTAATTCTGAATTAGTAACTAAGGAGACAATGATGGCGGAACCATGAAACGGATAAGGGCCAACATCCTTGCATGTACTTATATACCAGGAGTCGTATGAGTTAATATGCACGAGAGTTCTTCCGCGTTGTAATTTCGTCTACGTGTTTCGCAGTCGGCGGATGTAATGTACGTAGCCAAGGAACACTTCTGTCTAGCGGCTATATTTAGCCAGAGTGAGGCGAGTTCGTGGATAATTAAGTTTCTCCTAGAGAGTTCAGCAGTGGAAACGTTATATCAGTATAGCGAAGGAAATTTAAACTGCATCCTGGATGACCTTGTGCACTGTAAATTAATAAAATTAAAAAACACATATTTAACATTTTTTTTCTTATTTCTACTATGATCTATAATTCTTGTCACACGTACGTGTATACCATGCGTGCCGCATGTCGGATCCATGCCAAGGCGTGAATCAGAGCTTCCTGACTGCTGGGTTGGCGTTAATTGAATGTCAAATGGGACGAGGGCAGGGAGAATTATGACCGTTAATTACACCCGGTAGAGATAGTTTATTACCAGAAAATTTATAGTTAACGTCCTCGGTTCATTTCTATTGGTGTCAACAGTTGCCAAGAACGTCAGAGAGGGGGGCGTGGATACCATTGAAACGGAAAGTCAAAATTTATTGAAATAATGGAATGCGTCGAGGGTAGCATAATGGTAGTATATGGCACGTGTCGTTGTAACCACATATGCACCATGGTGCCACGTGCATATTAACACGTGCATAATTTGATCCCTGTTGCTCCTGCATTTTCCTCGAGGCTTCTCTATACCTTCGTCTAATGTCAAGCCAGCTCCCGAGAATTCTCCATTGCATTTGTATCGGTTCGCTATGACGGCATAATTGCAACGCTTGCATCTCCAGCCAAGATGCATCGGTGCACCGAAGCAAATACGTTTTACGGTGCCCCGGCGTCTTATCCACCTTCATATAATTACTATGATCTTCCGAGCTCGCTTCACGATGCTCCAGTTTTGCATCGTGCCAACGTACGAAATTCGCGACCCACAGGCGCGTCAAATGTGCGAATCCTGCGGGAAAGAGAACCTGCAATTTTCGCGTCAGGCACGAGACTTTCACCGTGTAGTCTTGGAGCGCCGTGGCAGTGCTTTATTACGATGCTGTGCCTGCCGAGGAGTGTAGGAAGATGGGATAATAAAAGAAGAGTGTAAAATGGAGTAAAAAGAAAAAAGAAAATGCATACAGGTAAAACGTAGAAGGGAACCGGCAGCTACGTATGGGACAGAGATTTCTATGCGCGTATAGGGAATTGCGATCGGAGTGCATGGACCACGTGTTGGATGCAGATGCAACACGCTCTCCTGTACAATCCGTAATCCTTCCCGGACACACGTAATGGACGGAATTATGAATTCAATTGCATTGAATTGGACCCAGCAGGGATATATCATAAGAGTCGGCTTCGAATGCATCTCACGACATGCTCTTGTGAAAGGGTTACTGCAGTGCTAAATGCATACGCGTTATAATCGTATGAACGGGTGGGATTAAAGAATCGGCCTTGACTGTACAAATGGTTTATATTGCTCAAGTCGTACAAAGGGCCCGACGACGGAATTAATACTCCAATTGGATATATTGGATGCATTGTTGCATTGAAGTTTAATGCTATTTTTGTGTACCTCATTGTATGCTATGTATCGCGTATATGGACCAGAAGGAGGACTGATAAATTCATATCACGATTACCGATGCAGGTGCCACCGATAGCAAAGTCAAAGTTGTCCTCATCAAGCGTCTTATTCAAATTAGTTTCGTCCCACAGTAATCTTCCCATTCCGGGCGTAGCAGCTGACGTCGCGCGCATTGCCATTGAACGAGGAAGATTCCTGGATGATTGGATGCACACAAGACGTCGTACGGATAGCTCGAGCTTCGTCCTGTGCATAACCATAATGTTGCCTCGTCATGGTTTATCGAATGAAAATACTTTCGCAAGGCTACCGATAATGCGTGCTTAACGAGCATCGAGCAGGAACGATTAGGAGTAGCGTGAAGTAGAGATGAAAAATTGATGATCTTATTTTGTAAACGCACATAAGAATTTTTAATTGCTGTGCTTCGTTAATTTTTTCATGATTTTATGAATATTAAAAAAGTGGAACGTATACGTATACACGCCTGTCTAAATACTTATGCGCTATAAGTACCCGAAATCGCGTAATAAACGACGCCTCGTTTGCGATCCTCGTGAATTGACACCATCAGAAGCCGTCGACGTCGTCGTCTGCTCTCGTAGACGGTGCGCCGTCCACTAAAGGACAAAGAAGACATCCCTCATTCATCGAGACCCAGCCAGTGTTTCTCATATCTCTTCTATTTGTTTACTGATATATATTATATATTCATTTGAAGAAGGATAATTATTGAAAGTCACTGGGTATCCTTGAGAGTGACATTTCCAATGCAGAAGACGCCGAGAGACATCCGAGTAGACGTCGCCGTTCAAGCTATCCTCTTGTGTCCGTACCACTCCTGTGTTGAGCTACTAACATAAAATCTATAAAAAAAAAATTTCTTTGAGAAACCCTACATAACAAAGGTCGTAAGTGTATAAAAAATCAATAATGCATAATCAATCAATCTATTTGATTCTCGATAGAATTTTACTCAGTCATGATCTATTGCTCTCGTATAATGTATTGTCGAAAGTTGGTAACGTAAGCTGGACTTATGAATCCTTTTATCCACCTATGGTACAGCATCCTAGACTATCTGTACCGGTACCTAATTTGAATAAGACAAATGAAGACATCCAGAGGACGGCAGACTTGGACCAGCCTGATACAACAGATAGCTATAACGATCGCCTAGTGGGACCCAACGCGAGCAAGCATCGAGCCACACCGATTGATTACAATCATTACCAAGACAATGGAGGACACGGACTTATCCTAACGACGGAGAGTCAACTTAGGAATCACCAAGGATTACCTTGGTAGCTCAAACTAACGAGCACGAGACTCACTTTTGTCTGATGAAAATTGATCTCCTGCTACCTGCTACCCACGCTGCTGGGAGGCTGTGAATTTTTCAATGGCGCCGTCATTCTGTATCGCAATTGCTACCAGCATCAACCGCAAGGACTGTTGCTACTGTAATCAGTAGCATCTTCGCAGTGCCATTTTCATCACGGGGATAAGCAAATTGCAGTTTTATTATGTAAATCGGTTGTATGGTAATATTTAATTGAATGTTTGATCATGAAGAATCAATCCAAACGGGAGAAAATTTTGCGAGTTCCTTTTATGGTTGGTAAGGTATTCCACGGATGATACTTTCTCGAAGAAAGTGACGTGGCGAGTTTCGCGGTATCGTTAACGAACCGACGATCTTCAATGAGAGAACCTTTAGTCGCTCGTGAAATTGGCGATTAGCGATATTCAATTGAAACGTAGAACGACGCACGGGTCGGTCAGGTGTTACACTTGAGGAATTCTCGGGACCAAACACACTCGGCTTATACAGGTGTTTTCATTCATGGTTAACACCCTCTTTTATTTGAATAAATTGGCTCATCCAATACCCAGCTACAAGGATATATTTTCATTAGAATACCATACGGCATTGAATTATTGCAATATTTTTGAGTAAAATAAAATAGTGATCTGATGATAAATTAATGAATGCTTGATCAATTAAATCACTGTTTAATAGCAAAGTTTAAAACTCGTCACGATTTGGGCTAGCGAACCTCTGAAGTAATTAATGATAGGATCCTGTTAAATTTAATTGAGAAGTCTATCACGATGTATACCTATATGCATATACCCTGAGTTTTACTCTATCCGTTTACCCGGCATCTACTGGATGCTGCGCAGGCGATACCCCAGCCATGTATTGAACAACCCGAATGCGCGAGGTGGATGCGCCAGTATTCCAGAACTTCGGTTGGCAAGCGAAACGCAGTGGCTGTGAAAAAAAAGTAGTAAAATTTCGCACAGCACCGGACAGAGCTTGCGTCAAGCGCGTCAGTAGCCGGGTGAGATTGATCATAGAAAAAAGTGAAAATCTTTCAGTGTCATGAAACTTTAGAAAATTTAATTTTCGAATTTTTACACAGTCCGAATAATAGTTCCGTCATTGTCCTGGAATATGGTTGGAGAAAATTCGCGAGATAAATGGAATAAAAAAATATGAAGAATGCAGTAAAATATTGAAGCGACGTTATCTCGTCTTCTGTGTTGAACGTGAAGAAGACACTGACAAGGGAACCGAGTGATATAATGAAACCAAGTGCGATAGTTTTACTGTTACTCCTGATCCTTTCTATCCACATTCTGACAGCCGAATCTAAGCTGCAGCAGCAAACGTCAGTGGACGATGACGACGATGACGAAGAGTGGGACGAGGATGACGACGATGACGAAGGACACATGAAACCGGAAATAGACGACGATGGAAGGATATACAAAAATCCACGCAACTCCCCATCGGCTATGTGTCCTCGCGACGAGGAGCAAGCTGAGCTTCTTGGACAGAAGTGTCTACGCAAATGTTCGACTGACGAGGATTGCAAGAGCAAGAAAAAAAAGTGCAGGTGCGACGGCGCTTGCGGTATGTCCTGCATAAAACCGGATCGAGAATGTCCTGAATTGACCAATATTGATCACGGCACATTGACCGTCACTGGACGACTGTTCGGTGACAGAGCTCACTACAATTGCCATAGAAATTATTCGATCGTTGGACTCTCGGATAGGATCTGCAGAGCAGATGGCCATTGGACTGGTAGCACGCCGTCTTGCAAAAATAGTAGCAATTTTTTTTGCAACGAGCCACCCAAGGTCTCAAATGCCAGACACTCGGCACTTATGGATCAGATGACTTTTGATATTGATAGTACGGTACATTATACCTGTAATCACGGTTACGTCACCGCCGGCTTTCAACAGGCCAAGTGTCTTTTGATGGACAGTACCGCTAGCTGGTTCGGTCCTGATATAATTTGCGAACCACAAAAGTGCGGCGCACCTACCGATATCGCAAACGGATGGCACGCTGGTATGTCCGTGGGATTGTATAAATAGATTGTAGTTGAAAGTTATTGATTTATTATTTATCAATAAAAATTTCAAGGTGAATGCTACACGTACGATTGCCGTGTTTCTTATCACTGTGCCGACGATTACGAATTGGTGGGTCGTTCGGAAAAAGTTTGTCTGGCTGACGGTACATGGGCACCCAAAGAATTGCCGCAGTGTGTACAGGCACGTAGGTCACGTTAACTTTTAACGCTCTTTACCAAAGGATTTCCCACATGTTGTTTATGCCTTCAGATTACGACAGTGGAATGCTCACCGCCTGAAAATCCCCAACATGGAAAAGCCGTGTATACGTCGTACGCGTACAACTCCATTGTGTCGTACGAGTGTAAATACGGCTTTACGATAATTGGTGTTGCGACGAGACGTTGCGGCGCAGACAAACGATGGTCGGGACAGGCGCCGAGATGTCAGGAAATCAATTGCGGTTCTCCAGGGATTCTTTATAATGGCTGGATCGAGAACATTGAGTCAGGTGAATTAAGCGTTCACCATTGGGTACGATAGAAAGACATTCGCGGCCATAACTTTTGGCCTTTCGTCGATGTTCCTACTTCTGATTGATTCAACTTTTTATAAATTTTTCATCCTATTGGCTGCAAGGAAAGTTGTACCTGATGGCAATGAGACTTAGGAGTCAATGAAATTCCATCTCATGCTATACGTATACATATATGTATATGCACGGTATACGAAAAATTTGATAACACGCGAATCGTCATAAATTTCAAATCTGCGAATCCGCCTTAAAATTGATGCATTGCCATTGTGCACACCACGTGATTATTCGCCGACCGGCGGCCAAAAGTTCTGGCCGCCACCTTTAGTAAAGTTTTTCCTCTTTTCATATGTTACAGGTACTGGCTTAGGCGCGAGTATAATCTTCCGTTGCAACAAGCACATGAAGCTGGAGGGAAATACGTCATCGGTGTGTCAGATCGATGGAAAGTGGCGATATCCGGTGCCCCAATGTTTGGCGCCTTGCGTAGTGCCGCAAATTGAGAACGGCCACATAGTCGTAGCCAGTCGCGAGCGCGATCATATCAATAACGTGACAGTGGTGGAGCACGGTGAGAGACTTATCGTGAAGTGCGTACAAAATTATGAATTCGCCGCCAACAGTACACCAGTCGTCTGTAACAATGGTACATGGACGATAATACCGACCTGTTCGCCAGCACGTTGCAAACAGATGCCAAAGGCACCAAAACAGGGAATCGTGATCGCGCCGAAAACCGATCACGGTATGAGGGCTGTTTTCAAGTGTAAGGATGGCTTCGAGCTGGTGGGCGGTGGTCCTGAAAATACGAGTACGTTCGTCGAGTGTCGATATGGAAACTGGACCGGTGATATACCACACTGCATCGAGGTTTACTGTCCGTTCCCAGGTTATATACCGCACGGGAAGATCCTTCTCGTTGGCAACATGGGCGTTTACGATTATAGATCTTACGTTAAGAGGATCGTGAATAATAAGCAAATAATGTACGATTGCGATCGAGGATATGTTCTCAGCGAAGGTCCACCGGGAGCTACCTGTATAGGTGGTAATTGGAGTCCTAAGGAACTTCCCACGTGCATTCTCGGACAGCATCCCAGGATCAGATGGAACAGAAGACGCAGATCGCTCGACGTCAGGAAGGGCGAGGCTACCTTGAATTATAGAAGATTTATAGAATTCTTTAAGAGGATCAGTAAGAGGGTCTTTCACATGGAGACGATCAAAGGTCACGATAGGTACAAGCATAGGATCCGTAACGAGAGTCTCTTGAAAAATAGCAGCGAGATTGATAATGGCACTGTCAATGAATTCTGGAAGGATTATTCAACGCGTAGAAATAAGACCTGGGTCATCGATCGGGGAATGATTGATTTTCTCAAGATCGTCTATCGGCGACTGATAAAGATCGATGCCAGACGTGCCAGGAATCGAACGCACGCAGGCATGCACGAGTTACTCAACGTTATGAGCATGAAATTCTTTCGCGTGGACCTGACAGCATCTTCTGGAAATACGTCTCACGTGGCCAAGGAGCACGTGGATGTCAAGTTCAAGAATCATAAGGAGTACGTCAAACTCAAAAGAGATTTCGAGAGGATCGTTAGGTTATACGGTAGATCCGTACAGTGGCACGGGAAGCACAGGCTTATGGATAACAGGAGACGATATCAGATGGCGCATTCACGTAATGATAAGGAAATACATTCAGAGGGGAAAAAGCACAAAGCTAATAATTACTACCAGGGTTTTTATGAATTTATCAATAATTACATGAATGAAAAATTATCGATAGACGAGGCGCAGAATGCCACGGAGGAGCTTATCAAGAAAATGAATATCAATAAGTTTACCGTTCGAAACGGTACGACGTTTACAATCGGCGACATATACGCGTTCTTTAAACATATCATAGAAAAAAAATTGAACTCTAGCGACTCGTCGAGCAATCAGACCGTCGAGGGTGGGGATGGTGGGTCAAACAGTGGGCGACGAGGATTCTCAAGTAACTACGCAGTCTCGACCACGTCGCCAGGTTCCTTGATAAATAATGAAATTCCGGCGACGGATTTTAAAGACGGCGTCGCCAAGCATCGCAGTAAGAGAATACGCAAGACTTCGGAGGAGCCGAGTGCTTCTTATAAGAGGAAGTTGCTCTCCATTAATCATCCCTTAACCAGCGAAGAAGACAATGAAAATACGCGCTATAAGAGATCATCCGAATTCACCCTAAACGAACTCGAAGCGCAACAGCAAAGTCGCTCAAAGAGATTCCTGTCGCCGTCCGAATTGGATAATCAAATATTTCTGAAGAACTTGTATCTTAATGCATACGAGGAGGAGTACAGGGCGAATGTGAAACGCTCAATTTTCAAAAGTAATCGTACAACCTGGCCACCCCTTAAACGTCGTAAGGGTAACCTGGAGCGGTACGAGATTAAGTGAAAAAATAAAAAATAGCAATGTATTGTGATATTATGGAATTTAATAAGGTATTTACCAATTTTAGGCGAGTATACATGTATTATGTATAGATTATCATCCCCAAGAAATATCTTCCAATTTAATAACCCCCCACCCGATCTACATTGTAACGTGTACGCTTTTTTGGAAAAAAAAAAGATAAATCTTTTCCAAGCAATCGATTTGGTATTTTTTTACTCCTATTTTCCCTTGTATCGATTCAAACACGAGATTATCGTTACGTGTTCGAAAGTACGATGGCTTTGCTAATTAATTTCAAAAATAACTGCATCTTAAAAAAATGTAGGTGCGCCAGGCGTAACGCGCGTTCCATACATGTCGACCACCTGTCAATATCCACGTGTCATTAATTACGGCCCTATTATGAGTTGGAAAGGTAGCGTGAACATCGTGAGCTCGTTCGAATCGATACGAGAGTGTTTCAGGCTGTGACGGCATCGAGCTAAAACCTTGACACGTTGCAAGACATGAAAAAAAAAGTGAATCATGTTCACTTGCAATCAGTTCGGTGCAAAATAATAAAACGTAACTTTCCATTTTTTTTTAAATCAGACCGATGATTCACTGTTCTTAAGACGAACTGTTATATATCTGATTTGGTCATCGAGACTCTTCTTCCAGGTCTGAATAAGCAATTAGGAGATTTAATGCTAATTAAACTAACTGGAAGGTATGAACAAGTCTTTTACTCGGAGAAGGAACGTTCATTGACACCATTTAATATTTTAACATGCAAGAGCTTCGAGTGCTAATTTTTAATTAACTTTTAAATATAGTACAAATTTCTTAATTAACATTTCAGTCAATTTTCACGAACAGGCAAATTGCGCTATTCAAAGTGTAGTAGAGAGTCTTAAGCAATATCAGTATGTTACAGTAATAGCAGGAGCAGTAGGTACTAGTAGCAGGTACAGTATAAGGAGTAGAATAAGAACTCCAAGTCTTGGTTCACCCGACGATAATCTCATTGAGCGAAGAGCGAAGAGTTAAGCGACGCAGGCTTCCTGTCAATTCAGCAAGCAAGTGTCGTCCACAGTGGTCAAAGCGAAGAAGAAGATTGCTTGGAAGCCATTTCTGAATGAACGAAGTGGGTAGGTATTTCAGTTGGGATTTGCCTAGATACTACGTTCGATAGGCGTGCCAAGAGGGCCACGAAGTGTCTTCATTGTGAGATATTTTAGTGAATGGACCACGGGGCGGCTTCTGGTCTTCTCGAATAGATTGGAAACGCAGGAAAGGGTATATGAATGAATAAGGTCTGGTTCTTTCAGTGATGCCAATTGACAAAGAGAGTCTGGCGGGAAGATTAAAATTGCGCCGAGTAACACGAACGCCATTCTAGGTACGGTAAAGAGGCGTATACCCGTAAGAATTGCTACTTTTACTACGAAAAAGAACTTTATGGATTCCTAACCTCAAATTCGGGGCTGGTAGCAGTAAGCCAACTGTACGTAGAAACGTCGCTGCTTTGGTGCCAGTCCAACCAGCTGGTAAGTTAGACCAGATTATGACACTAGAGGATTTTAATATCATTGTCGAGACGTCCAAGCGTCGGGACGACGGCATCTGCCGTGGCCTCCTATCGTTTCGCCTCTCACCTTCCAGAGAGGATTTAGCGACGTCCCGCTAGGTGGTCCTCGCCACTTGCCACTTAGCTTGTTTGTGCTGCAAGGCATCTTCTTCACGCCGCTCTGTAATCAGCCAAGTGTTGCGCCCATTAACACCGAACGCCTGAACCTTTTAACGCTGCGAATTTTAATAATTTACAAAGAAGCTCCTGCAGCCTCCTGTCGATTCTTCAGCAGCTCTTGCTATGCCTCGTTGCGTACAGTCAGAATTTCAAATTTCCCGAGAATCCATAGACGAGCTAGAGAAACTTCTGTATAAGAATTTCAGTCAACACCTGCGTACTTTCAATCAGCTTATTTCTCTTGTAAACTTTTCTTCCAAATATCTATAACTTCCTGTGCTATTTTTTGACCGTTATAAAGATACGCAATTGAGATATCACTTAGACGGAGTTCAGATTGAAAAAAGAAAAAAGTCCATCGAGGCCTTTAAACTCTCTACTGTAGTATTTTCAATATGACTGCTCGACAGTTTACGGAATGCGGGATTCGCAGCTTCCCAGCTCTCCTTGTGAGTTACGAGGTTGTCCCATAAACATTGGATTTCGCGCCTTGCTATACCGTTTAAAAGTACCGAGGATCCCGATTACACGCTGGTTAATTTCAATAACAAGTTACTCCGCCGTGGGATAAGTGACTCTCATGTCGATAGAGAACGGCGCTTTGAAAGGTTCGAATTTAAAATGACAATTTAAATGATTCAGAAAGGCTATGAGCTCATTCTGTCCAAGAAAAAATCATATGCACCCAAAGTCATATGTGTATCTGGTCTTATTCGCCGTATAGTGTATACGTAATTGGTGGCCAATGAAGTGGTACCGCATATTTAACATACGGAACATACAGACTACGTTTCACCCGTTACTTTAATTATTTCGTCGAGTGGCTACTTAACGAGAAAGATTTGCAAATAACACGACTCGCCTGTTAATCAAATACATGCAGCGCTTAAGGATCACTTTTTGAGCCGAGAGCGAATCTTAATTGCCACATTTATTCCTGTTGCTTTACAGCAAGGAACAACAAGGTAAATACTCCGATACAGCATCCTCTCAGAGACTCGATCCCGTTGCATAATGATTATACAAGAGCCCAATTGAGATAACAGAAGAGGAAAGATGAAATTTAAAAATGTAGCAATCTCGTTGTGATGACAAGTACAAGAAAGCGAAATGGGCAGCCGTCAACTTTAGTATGAAAATAAAATTTTGCAAAAATCAGTCTTTTTTGGAAACGGAAAAAAGGACAGATACAGGTATTACCTATGAATTTTTAATTGATCGAAGTTTTGTGAAATTATTGAAGTTGAGATATAATTATTAACTAATTTTGATTTTGCGTCCATATATAATATAAATTGTCTTCTGGCTGTTTTAATTCAAAACGCATTTGCCCATTGAGACTGAAAATCTCATGGTGGTCCTAGCTCGTATCTCATATATAGAAAGGCCAGTGGTCATTGTGAACTGTTCTTGAAGTCCTGCGTCCTCTTCTCTAAGCATTGGTGGATCTTTTTATAACCGGCTTTGGACGCGCACAGGTGGCACGACTGAAAGTAGTTCCAATGGGACGTCGGGCGTCGGAGCCCAGGGTACATTGTGGGAGCACCGTGTGGATTGTTCCGAAATTGCGCTCCTTGAATGGGCCTTGTTGTTGTTAAGGTTGGGCAGTTTGATGGGCATAGGTAGGGCGTGGTATAGGATCGCGTAATCGAGCTTTGATCAGATGTGAAATAAAATATGTGCTTAAGACGAGGTAAGGGTTGACAAACGATGTGCACGGGGAGAGGCGTATTAGAATTTAAAAGATCTATGACCTTACTGAATCATTGAAAAATTTCTCAACCAAGTATCTGCTGTCGGTATCGTACGATGAGAAAATTCAAATTTCCCGCCTAGCATCAAAACGCCAATAAAAACCAGAGTGCTTCCTGTTCGGCCTTATTAAATTAGAATTAAATCCTATTCCACTGTAGGATAATTAACTAACTAGGATTCGATTCCCAGGACCTCCCCTAGAGTCAAGAATCCATTGATGCGAACCTGACAATGACTATCCTCCAAATCGAAACGATTCCACGGACATACGTCACGCTCCGTTTCCTGAGGATTCCGAATCCGTACCTCCCAGGCGCTGACAAGTGGCTCTCGTAAGGTCGCGGACCATTTCGAATCAGGAGCATCCTGATCGTTATCCTTGGCGATGAGAGAAGTTGCAGCTGTGGAGAATGATTCAAAGTAAAGAAAAGTGAATAGAAAGAGAAATCCCCATTAACGCAACGCTATGCAGTTTAAGATCCTATACAGAGTTTTTTCCTATATGAAACCCACAGGAAAAAAGAGACGATGGAAGGATCTCGTAAGGACGATTATCGAGAAGATCCTTTTAATTAAAGGATATAATAGTGTCCTTGTTGACCGGATGAGGACTTGATGAATCCTAACCCTAGCCAAAGCGGATACAAGGCTCTGGGCTGTCTCATTCCCATACTGGATGACTTTACATTTGGATCTGGACGTCTAGCTGAAAGGGTACGTTGTTTTAGAGTACCAACGTAACCCGTCACCATTCTTGATGCTCTTCATCAGTGGATAATGACGAGTCTTGTACCTTGGGAGCCGAACAGTCATGAATGCATCTCTTGTGAGATTTTCTGGCTGGCTAAGATATCGTTACGCCCACTCGATCGCGATAAATGGCCGAGTCATTAATTGACATTCTAAGGAATCGAAATATTTTCGTGAATGAAGTGCCTTATGACTGTATAGACGTACAATGACTAGCGTATACATAAACTATAGTATGCGTATAGCTATCTATACTTTGGACAGGACACTTGAGCAACAGTACTATTTTTATATACCTTACCGACTGTGCTTGATTTATGTGCTATATATATGTATTCGTCCTCGAGGCTATTCGATAGGATCCTCCTGTGGAAGAAAAAGATATAAAGAGAGAAAAAGAATAATAATATATTTACCTCGATCTCTTGGCGACTCTTCCTATTTTACGGTGTCACATAACTTCGAATCGTTTTCGTAGAACCGACCGGTTGGAATATTTTACGAATATTTCAAAGGCACAGAGTTCTTTTGGGGTCGTCGCTGCTATTTCTCGAAAAATATTATATTTTCGAGACAGATATCCTATGGCTGCTTCGGCCATAAAAATATGTCCAGCATTATTCGGTCGACTACCACTGCGGGAGCCCCATAGGGTTATGGAAAGGCAAAATGTCAAACCTGATTAAATCGTTACTCATTTTTCCATAATTACAAAAATCGAGAAAATTATTCTCGGTTCTCTGGATCTTTCAAAGATTTATATTATCTCTTTCGTAACCCACCTACATGGCCGCGTGAATATGGCGTTGCTACTATTCACGATGATATCCATGCTGATAGAAAACTAGAAGTCTTATCGTTTTTACGCAGTCATCCAAATTATAATTCCTCCACCTTCGGTACGACAAAATAGTTGCTACTTGATGGCGACTTAAGATGATTTTGAAT